AGGCATTGTACCTGTGGTGAGAAAATTAGCTAAGTCAGCAAACCAAGGGGATTCAGTCTGTAATAAAGCTAATAAATGTTCAGCAGGAAAAGAATCATCAAAAGGGATATCATCTCCATCTTCAGGGTCAAGGAGAAGACGGGAAAGATGGTCTGCAACGACATTCTCTGTTCCTTTGGTATCCCTGATTTCGATGTCGTAATCCTGTAGCTGGAGTATCCATCGAATCAACCTTGGTTTGGCATGTGTCTTGGTCATCAAGTACCTCAATGCTGCATGATCTGTATGAATGATGACCTTGGAACCTACCAAATAAGAATGAAACTTGTCAATAGCATATATAACTGCTAACATCTCTTTTTCAGTTGTGGCATATTTCATTTGAGCAGAGCTTAAACTTTTGCTAGCATAGTATATGGCATAAAGCTTCTTCTCCTTCCTTTGCCCCAATACGGCTCCCACCGCATAATCACTAGCATCGCACATGATCTCAACCGGCAGACTCCAATCTGGGGGTTGCATGAATGAAGCAGTGATTAAAGCTTCCTTCAACCTGTTAAAAGCTTCAAGACAAGCATCAGAAAAAACAAAAGGGACATCCTTGGCCAATAGCTCAGTTAAAGGTCTAGCAATTTTCGAAAAATCCTTAATAAAACGCCGATAAAAACCTGCGTGACCAAGGAAGCTTCGAACTCCTTTTACAGAGTTAGGGGGTGGTAAGCGCTCTATAACCTCTATTTTGGCCTTATCGGCCTCAATCCCTTTATTAGAGACAACATGACCTAAAACAATTCCTTGTTGAACCATAAAATGGCATTTCTCCCAGTTTAAGATTAGATTAACTTCTTTACATATTTGGAGCACCTTTTTCAGATTTTCAAGACATACATCAAAGGTTGTTCCATAGACAGAGAAATCATCCATAAATACTTCCATAGAGTTTTCTATGAGTCTTGAGAAAATTGCCATCATACATCGCTGAAAAGTGGCAGGAGCATTACATAATCCAAATGGCATCCTGCGATATGCAAAGGTGCCATATGGACATGTGAAAGTAGTCTTTTCCTGGTCACAAGGATGGATGGGAATTTGAAAGAAACCTGAATATCCATCCAAGTAACAGAAAAAGGAATGCTTTGCCAACCTTTCAAGCATCTGGTCGATAAAGGGTAAGGGGAAGTGATCCTTCAAGGTGGCCTTATTCAACTTCCTATAATCTATACACATTCGCCATCCTGTGACAGTTCTAGTGGCGACTAGCTCACCCTTGTCATTCTTAACAACGGTCATACCTCCCTTCTTTGGTACTACTTGTACAGGGCTAACCCACTTACTATCAGAGATAGGGTAGATTATACCTGCAGCAAGCAATTTCAGAACCTCTTTTTTAACTACCTCCATCATATTAGGATTAAGTCTTCGTTGAGGTTCTACAGAAGAGGCATGATCGTTTTCAAGAATTATCTTATGCATAAAAAAAGAAGGATTAATGCCCTTGATATCATCAATGGTGTACCCAATGACACTTTTATATGTTTTCAAAACGTTGAGCAATTGCTCCAATTCTGTGTCCTTGAGTTCAACATTGACAATAACGAGATATGAATTATTTGGACCAATATATGCATATTTTAAGTTAGAGGGGAGGGGTTTCAACTCTACCTCGGGAGGCTTAGAACTCTCCCTAATACTCATTGCTTCCAATGTCTCTCTGATCGGGTTCTGATTTGGATTGGCCTTTGCTTCATTAAGTAACCTGGTATACTCCTTAGACTACCAATCTCCATTATCATCTTCCTTCCCTAATAGCACTTGTTCGAGGGCATCATCATTCTGATTCAAGGGAAGTTGCTCATTCTGCAGCTCATCGAGCACATCAACCTGACAAACAGTGTCTCCCATAGAAGGGGCACCCATAACATTCAAAAGTGAGTATTCCAATTTCTCATCACCTACTTCAAAATTAATCTTACCTTTCTTCATATCAATAATTGCACCTGCAGTAGCTAAGAAAGGTCTACCAAGTATAATTGGAACATTCACATCTTCATCCATCTCCATCACAACAAAATCACTGGGAATGAAAAACTTACCTACTCGGAGGGGTACATCCTCAAGTACACCCAAAGGAAACTTCACTGACCTGTCTGCAAGTTGCAGGGATATGCGTGTGGGTTTGAGTTCACCCATTTGCAGCTTCTTGCATATGGACAGTGGCATGAGGCTTACACTTGCACCAAGATCGGACAATGCTCTGTTGATTTCGATATCCCCAAGCTTCACTGGAATCGAATAGCTACCTAGATCTCCTAATTTCTTAGGGAGAGTGTTCTGCAAAATAGCACTGCACTCTGCATTCAAAGCAACTGTAGTATTCTCTTCTAACTTTTTCTTGTTAGATAGCATATCTTTTAAGAATTTTGCATAAGAAGGAATCTCAGATATGGCATCTAAAAATGGAATATTAATATGAAACTTTTTAAGAATATCAAGAAACTTACTGAACTTTTTCTCAAGTTTAGCTTGGGCTAACCTTTGAGGAAAAGGAACCTTAGGCACATACGGAGCAAGTGGCTTTGCTGGTGCTTCCTTTGATTCATCCTCGACCCTAGGGTTGTCAACTTCCTTCTCACTTGCACCTACTTCTTCAATGACCTCCCTTGATGGCTCCTTGGTAGGAAGATCTTCCAACTGCTTTCCACTCCTCAGGGTGACGACATTCATTTGGCCTTTTTGAGGTTGTTCTGTCTGGCCCGGAAAAGTTCCTGGAATCTTTAAAGATTGGCTAACTTGATTAGCAAGTTGGCTTATCTGGTTTTCCATGAGTTTACTTTGGGCTTGTAACTGTTGTATAGAGCTATTTTGGTGCTGGATGGCACTATTTGTTGTGGTTATAAAGCTCTCTAACGTCACCTCAAGGCTAGATTTCTGAGGTTGTGGTTGCATTGGTTGTTGGGTGGTCTTTGTTGGAAACCAGGTGGTGGTTGGTTGTAGTTGTTGGGTTGAGGTGGATTTTGTTGTGCTTGGGTATTCTTGTATGAAAAGTTAGGATGGTGTTTCCATCCTTCGTTATAGGTGTTAGAATAAGGGTCATAAGGTCTCTTTGGGTTAAAGGAGTAAAAAGCATTGGCTTGCTCGATTGACATCTGTTCTGTATTCTGCAAAATCTGTGGGCAATCTGGAGCAACATGACCCTGCACATGACATAACTGACACAACTCCTGTGGGGTGTTAGAAGTTCCTGCTTGGAACTTATCAAACCTGCTTGTTAGTGCTTAAACATAACTAGTTAGCATAGTTAAAGCATCAACATCGAGTTTACCTCCCTTTTTCACAGTGTTTCGGCCTGCTGGATGATAATTATCATTAGCTGCCATCTTCTCTATAAGCTCCTTTGCTTCAGTGGGATTCTTTGTCAAGAGAGAGCCCCCAGATGCAGCATCAATGTAGATTCGGAACTCATGAGTTAGACCATTGTAAAAAGTTTGGATCAACATCCATTCAGAAATACCATAGTGAGGGCATTGTCTCTGCAAACGCTTGAATCTCCTCCATGCGTCATATAAGGACTCATCATCTGACTGCCTGAAAGTGGATAACTCATTTCTCAACCTTGCAGTCTTTTCCTGTCCCAAGAACTTGACTAGGAAAGCCTTCACCAATTTGTCCCATGTGTCAAATGAGCCAGAACCCTCATCTCTCAGCTATTCCTTCGCCCTATCCCGTAATGAAAAAGGAAAAAGGCGAGGTCTAAGAGCATCGTCTGTAACACCATTCATCTTCATGGTATCACATTTCTCCAAAAAGCTATCAATATGACTTACTGGGCAATCATGTGGTAGCCCTGCGAATGAATCATTGGAGATGAACTGGATGAATTGCGGCTTGAGCTCGAAGTGCTGAGCCGTCACAGGTGGTCTTACGATGCTAGAAAGGATTCCGATAGTCGTATCAGGAATACCGTACTCCAAAAGGGATTTCGTTGGTTGGTCTACCATGTTTCTATTGGTTTGATTTCTCCTTCTTCTTCTACCTGCCCGTCTTCTTGCGGTTGCTTCGATTTCATAATCAAAAGGTGCTAGATCTTCTGAACTTGAGCTTCGTGTGGGCATGCAACAAGAAAACTAGAGAAAGAGTATCAAAAACACAAGAAAAAAATAGCCGAAGCAACGAAATAAGCCTAGCAAAAACGAATCACAATTAATCTAATGAAACCGTTAGTCCCCGGCAACGGCGCAAAAATTTGGTAGGCATGTCGCGTACCTATCCAAAATAACCTAACAGACCAATACTAATGTAGACTGGCAAGTAAGGGTCGGATCCCAAGAGACTAAGGTTCAGGAACAATTAATTAGACTCAAATTTCTACTAAGCAAGAATCAATTATAATCGATAACTAAGGGCCTAAAATATAGGAAAAATTCGAAAATAAACTAATTAAGATGTTTAAATCAAGCAATTAAAAACATCCAAGATCTAGCTTCACCACAACTATTATTGATGCAATTGTAATTCTACCCTTAACATACGATTTCAAGTGAACGGGGAAAAGTAAACCCTAATAATTACCAAGGATCTCTCTCGAGTATCAATGGCTTCCCTAACATACAATCAATCATATTCTCATGGTATCATGCATATTAAAGACATTAAACACATTACTCTCACTTCCCAATTATCAAACCCAACTACTCTCGTGTTGAGAATCAAACCCTAAATTGATTTACTCAAATCCGTTTATACCCAACTCTCGCTGTGATAAAAACAATGGAATAATCGCAATACTATAGTTACGTCTAACCTAGAATTGGCATAATCACAATCAATTTAGAAATTCAATTGTTAAAGTTATTAAAGAATTTAAAGATTTAATTCATGCATCAATAATAATAGGGCTACACTAGATCTTGAATTAAAGAATCTACTCACACATGATTAAAGAAACGAAAACAACAATAAATAATGAAAACATAATTAAATAATAAAGGATGAGAAATAAATACCAAATTTTAAATAAAATTGAAGGTAGAAACCTTGAATCTTGAATTACAAAACTTAGAAAAGTAGATGGACAACTAGTTCTTAATGAGAGAATAAAAATAATATATGGCTTAATGAAAAATAAAATTCATAAGAAAAACAAGGCTAAAAAGTATTTACATGAGCCTAAAAAGATAGAAAAACGGCTAAGCCTTGGCGCACAAGAATCCCAGGAGGCACGGACGTGCCTCTACACGTAGCAAAATTGCTGCAGTTTCTGTCTTCCAGGCACGGACGTTCCTGCTTCTTTACCTAGGCACGGACGTGCCTCTTCTGCTAGGCACGGACGTGCCTAGGGTCTTCCTTTAGCGCAGCTTCTGGCACAGAGGCACGGACGTGCCTAATAGGGAGGCACGACCGTGCCTACCTCTAAAATGCCATTTTCTTGAATTTTCTTCAATCTCCAAACTCCATGGGCTTTGACTTACTTCATGGATCTATAATTCATCCAAATTAGCTCCATTATTCCTTAAAATCATCAAAAACAACAAAACTACCCATAAAAGCATCGAATTATCCAAACTAAAGCAAAATACGCCAAAACGGACTCAAATACTCAACTAAACTAACAAAACTAACTAAAAACCAACCAAATAATATACACAAAACACGACTTATCAGGGCTTATATACACGTGGACTTGAGCACCTAGATTGCTTATAAGTTAATTGTGTTATGTTTTTTTTTTTGAAATTGCTAGAGTATGGGAGGAAGTTGTATGCATAGCTTGCTAATCTAACAAATAATCTTCAAAGCTTGCTAATCTAACAAGAGATGTGTTTTAATTTATTGTTTAGTACTTATATATGAGTCCATGTCTTGCAAGAGAGGTTAGTTTGGTGGTACATAGTTTATTATATTTTATGTGAGTGCTTTGCTCGAGGACGATCAAAGACCAACGATGCCAAAATTTGATGTGGTGTCGAAACGCACACAAATTAATAATAATTACCCTAAGAATACTAACTTGTAATTAGTTGATGTAGGGGTTGATCCCACAAAGAATATGATTACAAATAACTAAGAATAAGATCCAAAACACTTAACTAAGACTCAAGACAACAAAACAAATGATTGGGGGAAGGGGGTTTAAGGATAAGGAACAACGAATAACTAAATCTAGTTAGGAACTAAAGCTAATAGGAACAAAGAAGAAAAACACTAAACGAACTCGAGATACTCAACAACTATACATAGGAATCCCCCATGCACATGTATAATCCCAGACATATTACTTAACCCTTTAGAATAACTTGACTTATGGGACAAGTTCCTCTGTTTTCCCTTATTAATGGTTAGATCCCGTAATACTTCCACTAACCTTAACCAACAAATAACCCTATACTACGAGCAAGAAATTTAACGTGTTGATAACATTAGGAACTAGGAAAACATCAAGCCTAGACACTATGAAATATTATTGGAACGTGATTCCACCTAGACCAAGAATTACTTTACAGTTAATAGAGTGGAACGTCCTCCTCTACAATTGGTTGCTACTTCATTAATGCTCCCAAGCAATTACGAACTTATTATCATTAATTAGCGATAGAAATTAGACCCAAGCAAATTGTTAGCTGTACACCTACTTATATGAAATTATCATTCATAAAATAAACAACAATTCAAGAATACTCCAAAGCATTAATCATTAAAACCAACAATAATCATCTCAAATACTTATTACACAGCTTCATACTAATAGTTACTAAGAATAATAAGCTAAGGACTCATAACACAAAGATAAGAAAAGAAAAGAAAACAAGAACCCATCAAGTTCCTTAGATTTGGATCTGAGTTCCTCTCAGGTTGCTCTGAGTTCCTCCGCTACAATGTATCACGAACAGTGATGAACGACTCCTAACCCTTGAGGGGTTTTGGAGTGAAGTCCCCCTTTTCTCCAGCATCCGTCTCTCTTCTTTAATTTCGTGGCTTTAAATAGGCTAAGAGATGAGTTGTCATCTTTCAAAGATAAGGAAAGTCATTAGATAAGATTTTGAAATTTTATCTCTTTCTATATCTTAACCAATTGATAAGATATTCTATTTATTTATATATATCTTTTCCAACTAATGTAGATCTTGTAAATTATTCCCCAAGACTTCCCAAATTCATAGATTCAATGAACCTAGACGAACAAAACGTGCCCAGCAAGTTCCTTTCAGCTTTGTCAGTTTTCCAAGTTCCTTTGCAGGAACTTCCACTCGTGTTTGACATTGGTTCCTTTATTTGGTTCGTCTTTTTTATATATGTATATGTCGTGCCTAAATTATTACTACATGTTCATATGTCTGCAGGTTGCTAGGTTGCAGATTACAGGTTGCCACGAAGTTAATGATCTTGTTTCAAGTAATCAAAAGAAGTCAAATGAAGGTCTTTCCAAGGAATATTCCAAGAAGCAAGATCCATGTTGAATGAGTCAAGAGGAGTGCCATGAGACTCGGAGCCAGTAAGCTATAGCTAACTACTTACGAAGAATAAGTCAAACTGCAACGGATAATGCATGAAGAATGTGGCATAAAACTCGGAGTAGAGCCTGACAACTAACCCCGGATTCCACGGAATCAGGTAAAGAGCCGTTGAAGTGCCTTAGGAAGATTTTCTATTATAAATATGACAAGAATCATTGTACACGGGCATCACACAATCACTAAGCCTTACATTTTATACCAACTAGCAATTATTAGTAACGTTATAAATCTATTCTAAACCTACATTATACTTGTATTGAATTATTAACCTAGTGGATTGGTGGACTCATAGTCACCCGTAGTTTTTACCCTTATTCCTGGGGTTTGCTGCGTCATCATCTTGTCTCTCTTCCTCCCTTTCCTCTTTGTTCATTTCTGTAGGTCATTCATTCTCATTCCTTAAATCTGCATCATCATGTGCACATTAATTAATCTAGTTGTTGTTCAATTGAACATGGTCTTATCTGGCAGTAAGATTTTGATTTTCGTGACAAAAACATGCTCTTTAAAGGTTTTGGGAGTCATTTTTGTCCAAAGAGATGTCAAAATTGACAAATAACTATAAACAATGCTTCATTTTTCATGTGTCACGCAAATCGAGGTATTTTTTAGTACGCAAAATGAGGCATATTCATTAATTTTTATAAATTTTAACTTCAAATAAGACCCAAAGGACAAAACATCTAAAATTCTATAAAACATGTTTTTGGCACAAAAATCGAAGAAATACTTTTTAAAACGATTGATTTAACGGAAAGTATTAAATGGTGGTGAAATATAAGTTTTTTGTCTTTTTGGGTAATATTTTAAAATAATTTTTTTTTGTGGTAATTTCAAAAAGTGGGTTATTTATGACTGGTTAAAATATAAATTATCCTGGTTTTTATGAAGGAAATCTTTATTGGATTCAATATATTATGTATTTATTAAATTCGATATTTTTTATAGATGACGCATACTTTTTATGAATGAATTAATTTTACAATTAATAAAAGTTTACAATTTTACTAAACATAATTGAAAAATATTAAATTACTAATCAAAATAGTGCATTAGCAATAGTTTAAAATGCAAAAGTGAGAAACATTATAAAACAGAGAGATATTCATTCAACATTATTGGTGTGTTGGCCTCAATATATAGCTAAATTAAAATTAGAAACCAAATCCAACACTAAAAGCATCAATGGACTTATTATAAATATGATTTAGCACTAGAACGTAATAACAGCGACACTAAAATTTTATTATTAATTAATTCAAGGAGGAATTTATTCACATTACATAACATGGAACAAACACTGGCCAAATTTATAAATTAAACATCACATAACCTGTGAAGTTTGGGTAAAAGCTTTTCTGAAACGAAAAGCAAGTTTAACATCATGATTCATGCCCAAAAGTCCATTCTCAAAGATTCCAGCAAGTTTGCATAAGACATTGTCACAATGGAATATCTGATATTCATCTGGTTGGACATAGTTGAATGGTACTGTAATACTGAATGCACTCGGTCCGAGCGACTCAGTAGTACCTGCAGCCACATAGATATGGCCGGTTGCATTATCCGTGGTTAATCGCCACGCTAGTGGTTTCGTGCAGGTGGTAGTGTCGTCGATAACATAGAATTCAGTTGGACCAAACGGAAGGTACTTTGAGCTTATTGGAGAAGTGAGTTTGAAAGGGTGGCCATTAGATGAACCATCTTTCTCTTGGGCTATAAACAGAGGGCACGCCGAGGTTTGTGGTTTTTGTGCTACGGTGAGGCCTCCACCATCGGCGGTTCTCTGTGGGATGATGTAATAGGTTCCGCCATTTAGCAATGGTTCACCTTCCTCGTCCGTGATAAAAGCAAACGAGGCGGCCATAGTAGGGAGAGGAAAGAGTTGGAGCAAAAGAAGAGCGGTAATTGCAATTGCTGGTTGGAGAAAGGTAGCCATTTTCTTAAGAACTTTTGAGCTTTGGTTTCTAAGTTGTTTGAAGTATTTTGGAAAAGTAGGAACTAGTAGAAGTTGGTATTTATAAGAGGCTTCATCTAATGAAGCTAGAAAAAATTATTTGATAAAAAATGTTATACTAGTTACTCCCTCCGGTCTTATTAAATCGTTAGACCAATTTTTGCCACAAATTTTTATCACTTTAAGTTCATTATAATTGACTAATAATCAATATTGCCGCATTCCTACTAATCGGAAATTTACATGACTATATTATTAAGGAACCCAAGCAAAGTCAATTTTGTGACTTTGAAGTCACGAGTTCGAACCCGACCAATTGTATGTGTTTGGGAGAAGGGAGATTCTCTTATTTCCCTCCTCTACTCTTAAGCATTGGCCTGTGGGGATGGACTGGCTTCACCTGTGAGAGGTGTCAATTTATTAGGGTCCTTTATCTTACCTTAAATTTTGTGAATTATTTTTTTGTAAAATAAATTAATATTGAACATATTTTCATTTATTATTTTGTATTGAAAATTCTAGCGTAGTGTATTATGTATGAGAGGGAAAAAAGTTTGTGGCATTATATGGACTGCGCATCATATTGCATAGTCACCCAAGTAGATAAGAAGGTTGTGGCTTGTTGCTAATGCTAGGTAGAGGCCAATAAGTAGCGACATGTACAGTGATAGGATGAAACTTAGTTTTCATTGTACTACATTTGCAATAACAAAAACGTGGATATATATTTTTACCTATGTACTCGAAAATTTTTGGACCACAATTGTGGTAGATGTAGAACAATAACTTATTTGGCGTTAATCGTACAAACTTGATTGATTTTAACTGGATTAAGTGTAACGTGTAAGTCGTGTCAAAGGTGAGTTTGTACACTTATGTGAGATTGCATTCTAATTATTTCTTAATACCCACCAAATTTTAAATTAATCACTCTTCCTTCTTTTACATGCACGGGCAATTCTCGAAAAAAACCAATAGACATTTTACTCAAAACACTTATCAATAAGTACGAAAAAAAGAAGTATGTGATAATTAAGGGAATCATAGTGAAGAGATGTATGTGCATCAACAAGTACAGTTATGCAAGAGAGAAGTGCTCCGAAAGTGAGGCACTGGTGATAATATGCACCAGCAAAATTATGTGTGTGATAAGATTTGCATCACAAAATGTTGTAAAAGCAAAGGTCAATCGTAAAGATCAGATAGCCATTGTAATCTAATTTGAAGCAAGAAGCTGAGTGTAGAGAATAATATCACATCAAGATATTATTCTTGATATGCAAATCAGGGGCTAGCTAATACCACTCCATTTCCTTGATTGAGAGTATACTATCTTTTATATTTGTAAAGTATATATTATGTTTGACTTTTTGATTGATTCTCTTATTGTATAGCTTACGTGATTAGTGCCTTAACCTTGTAATATATATAGCATGTAATTATTCTTTATGAAATACAATTCCACCTACTCTTACACTGAGGTGTAATGGAATATCTGCTTTTAATTGTTAGTGGTATACTATCTTGATTGAGAGTATACTATCTTTTAATTCTTTATGAAATACAATTCCACCTAATGTATAGGAATTTGCTCTCCCCTAAGTGATTAGTTTGTGTTAGCAGCGTCTAAAGAGTAAAGAGTAATGCTAGGCATGTATGATCTGATAGAATTTGGTGCACGCGAAAGTTTAATGGACCCGTATATCATACAGTAATTTTATGATTTCATAAATTTCATCATAAATTGTACAACAATATTTTTGGTGGAGACTACTCCACACATACACAACTCATATCTAATTTGTGATAGCTCATCTCTCTCACTATCTTGGTGAGTACTTCCCTCACCATATTAATGGGAGCTCTCTTAATTAGCGCAGCTCTTAACCCATGCACATTGAACATATTTATAGTGGTTGATCCTAAGCTATAGATTTTTCTACACATGTCTAATATTACATGTATCTAGATCTTTTTACATCAAATATCTTTGATATTTTAACAAGATACTTCTAGATACAAACCTCTCTTGATTTTTCTACTTTATTCTAGATTTTTCTAAACTACTCACAAGATTTTTTTTATTGCATATCTAGAATTTTCTAGATTAAATTTTACAATATCATTAAATAATAACCATACGGTATTTACAATAAAAAAGATCCGTAAAACATAAATTTAGTGAAAATACCATAACTTTTACAATAAAAAACATAACCAATTTGCATATTTGGCATAGCTCATACTCCATCGCTTCAAACTTGACGCGAGCAATGATTTTCGATGTCTTTGCATCTTTCCAAGTAGAGACCTTTGTAATCTGTGCTGACGCTTTGATCGACAAGTTGATGTCAAACCCCAAACCCATAGGAATCCAAATCACCTTCCTAATTATTTATAAGAACCCAAAAAATAAAATTCCCATCTATGGATGACAATCAAAATCCCAGAAAATTGGGAAAAACCCTGAAAATTGGGACGGACTCTCACAGATGGAGAGACCAAAACAAACCAAAACGTAAAACAAGGCAAAAAAAACTATATTAAATTAAGAAAAAAGGGATCAGAAATAGTCTAATTTTCGAAAAATAGCAAAAAAATTAAAACCCTAGAATAGAGAAAAGAGAAGAGAGTAATCAAAACTACTTCATATATGGTATTTTAGATATTTAATAGTACTTCTTTGTTGGACACCTATAAAATACTAGTGGCTAAAGTATAAAATCATGGGGACCTCAATATCATAAAACATGAGAATTAAATTAAATTACTCAAAGTATCAAGCTATCCCCTTGTTTATTAAAATTAATGAAAATTCAAATTCTAACTGTTAATCGAACATGTTAAGTATACTTTATTTTCTACGGTGGTCATCTTTAAAATGACTACCACTATACTTTATATTTATTGACTGACTTTAATTTATGTTTTTTGCTTGTCAAACTTACTAAAAATGATTAATCTTTTTAAAAATTCATTTTTTTGGAAATTAATTAAAAAAAGATTTTCAAATATTCAAAAATTAATTTCTAAGAAAAAATTGAATTTTTAAAAAAGAAAAATCATTTTTTCATAAGTTTGACCTATAGAAACATAAATTAAAAATCGGCCAATAAAAATGAAGTATAGTGGTATTCATTTTAAGGATGACCACTGTAGCATTTTCATAAGTAAATTCCTTAAATTATGTGAGGGAATTTCTTTAATTTCACATAACATTCTGAAAGAGTTTATGGAATATTTTCCTCAAGGGATTTCATTCACTGACTTCCCAATATATACAATGTAGCCGCATAATGCTAGCCATAATACAAGGCACCTATTTAGGAACTAATTACAATCATATCAATCTAAAAATATGCTTAGCTAAAATACAGTAACAGAATATATTTACATATATATCTTAACACACCCCCACAGTCGAAGCGGGAGGACCACGGACGCTAAGACTGTCACGAAAATCCTCAAACAAGACTCGCGGAAGACCCTTAGTAAAGATATCCGCAATCTGATGTCGAGAAGGCACATGTAGAACCCGAACTTCCCCCCGTGCAACCTTCTCGCGTACAAAATGAATATCCAACTCGATGTGTTTCGTACGTTGATGCTGAACTGGATTTCCTGACAAATAAATAGCACTAACATTGTCATAATAAACGAGGGTAGCCTTTTTAATCGGACAATGTAACTCCAAGAGAAGATTCCGAATCCAGCATGATTCGGAGACAACATTTGCCACCCCACGATATTCGGCCTCTGCACTAGATTTAGACAACGTGGGTTGGCGCTTAGACGACCAAGAGATCAAATTATCCCCCAAAAATACACAATAACCAGACGTTGAACGTCTCGTATCCGGGCATCCCCCCCAATCTGCATCAGTATACGCAACCAGAGAAGAAATAGACGAGGGATACAAATGTAAGCCATAATCAAGAGTACCCTGAACATACCGAATAATCCGTTTGGGAGCAGACATATGATCAACCCTGGGGTCGTGCATATGTAGACAAACCTGCTGAACAGAATAAGAAATATCCGGTCTGGTGAATGTAAGGTACTGTAGAGCCCCGGCAAGACTCCTATACAAAGATGGATCATCAAAAGGAGCACTAGTAGTAGCGCCGATCTTGGACTTCGTGTCAACCGGTGTTTGAGACGGTTTACACGATGACATCCCTGCACGATCAATTATTTCCTCGGCATATTTCCGCTGTGAAAGAAACAAACCATCCTTATGTCGAGTCACAGCAATACCCAAAAAATAATTTAAAGGACCAAGGTCCTTCATAGCAAACTCAGAGCTAAGAAGAGATATAATAGAACGGCAAAGAGCATCAGAAGAGGCCGTCAGTATAATGTCATCCACATATAACAAAAGATAAGCCATATCTGACCCTTTGCGGTAGATAAACAAAGAGTTATCCATCCTGCTGTGAGTAAATCCAATAGATAACATATAATCATCAAAACGCTTATACCAAGCCCGAGGTGCCTGTTTAAGTCCATAAAGAGACTTATTCAAGAGACAAACATAATCCGGATGATCCTTATCCCTGTAACCAACTGGTTGATGCATATAAACTGTTTCCTGCAACTCACCATGTAAGAAAGCATTTTTCACATCCAACTGATGAATATGCCATGCCTGTGATAGAGAAAGGCTAAGAACAGTGCGGATTGTAGCTGGTTTGACAACCGGACTAAATGTCTCACCACAATCAATGCCAACTTGTTGAGTTTTGCCATCACCTACAAGACGGGCTTTGTGCCTCTCAAAAACACCGTTAGACTGGACTTTATGAGTAAAAATCCACATAGAACGAATAACATTCACATTAGGTGGACGGGGCACCAACTCCCACGTCTTATTTTTAATAAGAGCACTAAATTCATCATCCATGGCCATTTTCCAATTAGGATCACGTAAAGCCGCGACCGGATTACGAGGTAAAGGAGACCTCGTGACAGCAACATTGGAAAAGTATTTTTTATTAGGCTTAACAATGCCATTTTGACTTCTGGTCACAATACTTGGCTTCTGGATTGGAATTTGGGCAGAAGGTGGTGCGGTTGGGCCATTCAGCATCTGGGCCGAGAGAGAGGGAGGTGATGAATGTTGTGGGGAAGGAGTGTGTGGGCTTGACAGCAAGGGTGGCCCAAGCGCCTCTTGGGAACCCACTGCAGGGGAGATGGGAGGAGTGTGGGCCTGGGCTGGATGGGAGGGAGGGGTAACGGGCTGGGCCGCAGGGGAGGGAGGTGGAGAATTATGCTGGACGTTTTGTGTAGGTTCAGCAGCTTGGGTCAAGTGATGAACAACCAAAGGATGTAATCCATCCCCCAAAAAATCATACGAGGTAGAAGTTGGACGATGAAGATTAGAAAATGGGAACACACTCTCATCAAACAAGACATGGCGACAAATAATGATTTTATGTGACGATAAATCAAAACACTTGTAACCACGATGATTAGAAGGAAAACCCAAAAAGACGCAAGGAGTAGACCTTGGTTGTAACTTATTAATGGTGGTAGAAGGAATAAGAGGGTAGCATAAACACCCAAACACCCGTAAGTGTGAGTAAGAAGGAATTCGTTGATAAAGAATTTCTAAAGGAGACTTATTACCCAACAACTTACTTGGAAGAATATTGAGAAGATATGTAGCCATTTGCAAGGCATGATGCCAAAAGGAAGGAGGTAGAGATGCATGAGCAAGAAGAGTTCTAGTGACATTGTTAATAGTTCTAAGTTTCCGTTCGGCTTTCCCATTTTGAGGAGAAGTATGGGGACAAGAGAGACGGAAAGATAGGCCATTGCGTTTGCGAAATTCCCAAAAAGGACCATTATCAAACTCCCTCCCATTATCACATTGAATATTTTTGATATTTCGTTCAAATTGAGTGTGGATATGGGCTTTAAAAGCTAGAAAAGTGTCATACACATCCGATTTCTTGGCTATAGGAAAAGTCCATAGATATTTCGAAAAATCATCCAAAAACATAATGTAATAACGATGGCCTATAGAACTTAAAATAGGTGAAGTCCACAAGTCACTATGAATTATATCAAAAGGCATAAGAGTAGTAGAAGTAGATGGAGCAAAGGGCAATTTAACATGTTTGCCATAAACACAAGAATTGCAAATGCTAGAACAAGAATGTTTATTACAATCAATGTTTTTATTATGCCTAAGAACATCTAAGATAGGAGCACCCGGATGTCCCAACCGATCGTGCCAAAGCTTAGGTGAGATGGCGGAAAAGGTAGAATGAGTAGCCTGATTTGTGGTAAATGGATAAAGGTCCCCATGGCTATCACTCCTCATGATTGGCTGCCCCGTCCGAAAATCCTTCACAGAAAACCCAAAGGGATCAAACTCAACTTTCACAGAATTATCGGTGGTAAATTTTCTAACAGAAATGAGATTTTTGATGAGTTTGGGTGCATGAAGAACATTTTTCAGAGTAAGGGGAGCAGTAGGGGAAGACAATTTAGTATGACCATAACCAAGTATAGGAATAGTATGACCATTACCAACAACAATGCCATTATTAGGATGAGTGCTCAAATTAAAATAAGACGAGAAATTACCGGGAGAGGAGGTCATATGAGAAGTAGCTCCAGTGTCCATGTACCATGCCGGATCGGGTTGAGAAAGAGTCATAGTGTGCATCGCGGACTCAATGTCAGTTGGAACATAAGACGGAGCATAGGACGCGGGCTGCCCAATACAAGAAGCTGCATAGGCCTGCTGGCCTTGTTGTGGTCGTGGCCCCAAGATGCCAGGTTGCTGCCTGGGTTGGAAATTGGGCTTGGCCCAATTCTGAGTTGGGTAAGGACATGGTGGCACGGGCCACCCTTGAGGCATCCACCCCCATGGTGGACACTGTTGCTGCCAGAACGGGGAGAAGGACTGTTGGCCGCCTGTCCCACGTGACGCACCGCCGGAACCACCACCAGAAAACTGACCCGCCTTGCCGCCACCGGAGCCACGGCCTGCACCACCAGAATTCTTGCGGTTGCCTGAATTTTTCCCTTTTTTTTTGATTTTTTCCTTTCGAGTGACCATGAGAACCGGAGTCAAGCGGAGAATTATCAAATGATGCCGCAACCATTGCCGAGTCCGACCCTTGTGAAGCATCCTTGGCCAAGCCGACCTCCTCTAAAGTAAGCATGGATCGTGCTTGATAAAAAGCGGGTAAGGGATTGCTCTGCCTAATAAGCGTACCAACACCACTGTACGCTTTCGTAAGGCCCCCAACCATCTGAAGGACCAGTCGACTGTCCAAAACCGGTGCACCTACATTCTTGAGTTGATCGGCAAGAGACTTCAAACGTTGACAATAAGCCGAGACATTAGGAAAGTCCTCTAAATTCGTGGTTGAAAACTCCTGCTCAAGAGTCACAGCCCGAGAATGTTTATTGTCCTGAAATAGGTCACGCAACCTATTCCATATTTCCATTGCTGTTGCATCTGGTTCGATAACGGTGTTGATAAGGTCAGTCGAGATAGTACCATAGAGCCACGATAAAACCGCAGCATCAAGGGTCTGCCATAGTTCCTTTTCTTCCTCGGTAGACGGAACTTTCTCCTTGCCGGCAGCAGGGGGAATGATATGGTGAAGGACCCGATGAGATTTTGCGTGAAGCTTGAACAACTCCGCCCACGTAGAGTATTGCATATTTGCCATTTCGAGAGTAATGGGAATGTGTGCCTTGATGTTAGGGACAGCAAGAGCAGGGTGATATTGAGACTTGGATTCACCCATGGTGAAGAATAGAGAAGAGAAGAGAGTAGATGGAAAGAAAACGTGAGCTATAGAACAATAGCCGAGGAAAGCAGCGGAAGATGAAGGAAATTGTGCCCTAGGCAACTGATACCATGAAAGAGTTTATGGAATATTTTCCTCAAGGGATTTCATTCACTGACTTCCCAATATATACAATGTAGCCGCATAATGCTAGCCATAATACAAGGCACCTATTTAGGAACTAATTACAATCATATCAATCTAAAAATATGCTTAGCTAAAATACAGTAACAGAATATATTTACATTCAATTGTAATGGATAATTTTTGAATCAAAATTCTTGAGCTTAGATTTGAGCTCAACTTTTCTTGTGTTAATTTTTTTTTACACAATTAATATCATCAATGATATTTAAGTTTTTAACTTGTTCTATTATTCAAGATTATGTGATACTATTATTCTAAGATTATGGGATAAAATGTAAAGAGATTATCTTACAAAAAAAATGGTGAAATTAATTTTTAAAAATTTAGATTGCCTTTTATCAGACGGAGGAAGATGGTATAAAAATGTTAATTATGGTTTTATGTCTTAAGCATATATAAACATGTTTTTATTTCAATTTTAGCGGCCAATTGACCATATATAAACATGTTTTTATTTCAATTTTAGCGGCCAATTAATATCATCAATGATATTTAAGTTTTTAACTTGTTCTATTATTCAAGATTATGTGATACTATTATTCTAAGATTATGGGATAAAATGTAAAGAGATTATCTTACAAAAAAAATGGTGAAATTAATTTTTAAAAATTTAGATTGCCTTTTATCAGACGGAGGAAGATGGTATAAAAATGTTAATTATGGTTTTATGTCTTAAGCATATATAAACATGTTTTTATTTCAATTTTAGCGGCCAATTGACCAGATTGGTAAATAAAACAGACCTCTAGCAATAATTTGGTAAAATAAAAAAATACTCCGGCAACAATTTGATAAAAAACGCTAATCCCAAGTGAATAGGTTCTCTGTGGGATGATGTAATAGGTTCCGCCGTTTAGCATTAGTTCACCATCCTCGTCCGTGATATAGAAAAACGAAACGGCCATAGTAGGGAGAGGAAAGAGTTGGAGCAAAAGAAGAGCGGTTATTGCAATGGCTGGTAGGAGAAAGGTAGTCATTTTCTTAAGAACTTTTGAGCTTTGGTTGCTAAGTTGTTTAAAAAAATTAGGAGCATGTTTATAAGAGGCTCCAACGAATATAACTAGAAAAATTTGAAATGTTACTTACTCCATCTATTCTAACTAAATCATTACACTAGTTTCTTTATGTTTATAATTTTACGATTTAAAAAAATATTTATGATTTTACTATTCAATAATCCTTCAGTCCTATCAAACAAGGTTTGATTTAATGGAAAAGTTTACATCTCACAACCATCATATTGCATTGTGGGATCAAAGATCAATTCCATTAAAGGTACATTGAAGAGGGGATTCCTACACCCTTCATCCTCACTCCCAAGGACCTAACCTGTTATTTTGAATTAAGTTGACCTGTTACAGATTCCATTTAATAGGTCCTTACCTTTTACCTTACTAGAAATTAAATTAAAATAAGCCCTTGATCGGCCACAACTTACTTTTACACTTTCGTTTTTCATTTTTTCTAGATAAGTATTTTTGGTCTTCCTTTATAGGTAACGTCCTGCTATTATTTTGGTATATCTTTCTTTCCACTATCAAATAGTTCGGGCTCATTATTTTTCAAATTTGAAAGAAAAAATTGCTTCTATCCTCTATCATAACTACAATTTTAATAAAATAATGTCTTTTACTACTTATTACTCGTATTTATTAGCTTCATTTAACTTTTTTACAAATTTTAATACACATATTAAAATGTAAATACCTGTGTAGAAAAATAAGAAAATATGAAATTATAAAAAGCGACATTAATGAATATAACAAGACTCCACATGACTGTATTATTACGAAATAGAAGTAGTATACACTACTCACTTTAATTAAATGAACAAAGTAAATTTTTCGTGGATTTTGCTCATTATTTTTTTTTATTAATTAATACAATGTTGGAAGGTGGATTACTTGTTTGGCCTGGGTTGAATTTTTGGACATGTTTGGGAGGGTCATGAACAAAATTCTAGTTTTGAGAGATGCTTGTATGTAAGTGTGAGTTAATTTAAATTGATCATTTACTCATTTGCTAGCTGAAGATGATAAACGTATTTGATTTCATTCAATAGAAATTTAAATGAAGATGATCTTTCATTTTAATAAATATGAGGGGTTTAATTTCATTTTTTAATCATTTGCCACTAGAAAAGGTCATCAAAGTAGGCGTATTTATTTCTTTTCTTAGGTTGAATCTAATAATTTATTAATTTCAACATTATTCTTTCCTAGAATTTGCGTACATATCAATTAAAACATAAATAATATCAAGAAGGTGAGGAGATTCGAACCTCTAATCCCGCAGCACAAAGGGAAATTTAATACACCTGCTTTGTTACCCACTAAATTAGCTTCACTTGTCGTACAAAATGTGGGTTAAATATTTGTGCATAGCTGCTATTTACATGGCAAGTAAATAGCAGTTACAAGATAAAAGAGTAGTGAATTTTTTTTTTTTTTTTTTTTTCTAGTGGTACAAATAAGTATATAGGTTATCATCAAATATTGTACCACTGTTACCTATAATGGCTATAAATAGTACTACTGAAACAAACTATATTCTAATAGTATAACATACATGTATAATAATACATTAAAAATACCACTGTAAGTATAATACTACATTAAAAGTACTACTGTAACGATAAAAATTCACAAAAATTATGTAAATTTACTAATTAGCCCTTCTATATACATCCAAATAAATAGCAGGTATGCGTCTAATTGTATTCCAAATTATGTAATGTTTAAACCATATACACAGTACCGAGTATTTCATAATTTATTTTATGTAAACAGATTTTTAAATATTTATTTATCAAAAATAATAAAAAAATAAAGGGTTAGCACGTGCCCCTCGAGTTACAAAGTAGGTCCGTCAGTGGTCACCCAAGTAGATAAGAATGTTGGCTTATTGCTAATGCTAGCTAGAGGCCAAAAACGACATGTCCAATTATAGGATGAAACTTAGTTTTCAACGTACTACATTTGCAATAACAAAATTACTAATAGTTGAGACGAATGCTATAAGAGGGGTAAGTTGTATGTGAGTTTTTAGTGACTAATTTTGCGGAAATAAAACAGAATAATATATCTTTATCTACTAATGTCTCCACTCTTTCTTACTTTATCACTTCTCACTCTTTCAATGGTCTCTACTCCCTCTCACACCACTTTACTTTTCAATAAAGTAATAACCTTACCTACCCCACTAACATCTTATTTTATTAAACCACCTAAAGTTCCGTACAATCTCATCTCTAGCTTGTAACAAAAAACGGAGAGTGTAACACTTATTAAAATACGACCGCATTTAATAAATGTAACAATTATTAAAACACGGAGGGAGTATAATTTTGCCATCTTCAGGACCATTTTGTAATTAACTTTGAAAAAACATGTCCTCGTACCATAATTGTCACCGATTATAATTTGAATCGGATTAAATAAGAAAATAACATTTGCTTGAGACATGGACCACATGGTGGTTGACTGGTGGTCTTCAGCGTTCAGTACTTTTCTTTTAGGAACATAGTTCAGAACTCCAGACTACTAAAATAACACAAATTCTTATATGTGGCTGGCCCACGATGTGTCCAGCTATAATAGGGCTACTCGATCAACGTTACAAGTTACTCGGTTAACGTTACAAGAGTTACTTAGTCAGTGTTATTGGAGTTACTCGATCAGTATTACAGGATTTCTCAGCCAATGTTATAGAAATTATTTTGTTCTTTTACAACCGGCTACGCACAAGATGAGATGCCAAAATAAAAGTCCAAATTTGTGAGGCCCAAAAGATTTTCACGTGAGATATTTTCCTGTTAACACCTTATCTACACAAGGAAATTTTTCTAATGGCTACACAAAACTTGCAATCATTAATGATGTTTATACACAGTACACAAAATTTAATCTAGGATGAATTCATAAATTCGAAATATATGAAATATATACAAAGTACTAATCACCTCTAGAAATGAACAAAAATTTAATGAATGATGTTTGCTCGGAAATGATTTTATGACTCAATTATGAGTAATTAGTATCCAACGAAGGGTTGCACTGTAGCAGTCACATCACCATATTGAGAAGAAGGAGAAATGAAAAAAAAAATTAGTTAGTCAATAAAACAGAGAGTGGAGATTTAATACAAAAAATGAATGGCTTAGATAATTTTATCACAGGTACATGTATTAAGTATACAGTAACCTTGTCGTTATCCCGCCGTTAACAAAGTCCGTTAGTGGGGTCGACTTTCTACTTATTAATATTATTTTATCGATTTACGTGTTGAAAAATGTTCTGTCAAGGGTTTTGAGGGCTATTTTTGTCTTAAGGAACCAAATTGAGCACAAATTTGACAAAAAATAACTTAAATGCCTCGTTATGCGTATTAAAAAATGTCTTGATTTGCGTGTTTTCTTTTTAATACGCAAAACGAGGCATTTACGTTATTTTTTTCCAAATCTGAGCTCAATTTAAACCTTTAATGACCAAAATAGCCCTCAAGATCTTTAACGGAACATTTTCTAACACACAAATCGATTAAAAAAAATATTAATTAGCAGAGAGTGGGCCCCACTAACGGAATTTGTTAATGGTGGGATAACGGCAAGGTTACTGTATACTTACTACATGTACTTGCGGGTTACAGTGTGAAAAGTGCTTATATGGAGGGGCACGACGTAGAAAAGTTAAATAAGGAGCGTTATCGTGTAGAAATACCCGAAAAGAATTTACCTTCGTGTTACAACGGTCAGCGTTATAGGAGTTATTTGGTCAGTGTTATTGGGGTTAATCGATCAGTATTACAGGGGATTCTCAGCCAGTATTATACGAATTATTTTGTTCTTTTACAACCGGCTACACACAAGATGAGTTGCCAAAATAAAAGTCCAAATTTGTGAAGCCAAAAGATTTTCACATGAGATATTTTCCTGTTAACACCTTATCTACACAAGGAAATTTTTCTAATGGCTACACAAAACTTGCAATCATTGTAATTTTTTAAAATCATGGCCGTTGAATTTTAAAAGTAAATCTCATCTTTTAATTTTTGTTTGGCCAAAATTTTTGGAAAAACCAGCGACATTCATTTGTTTTAAACAGTTACCATCTTGCAAACAAAAAAATTAAAATGAATGGCAGGAATCGACCAAATAAACTAGGCACAACAAATTTCGTAGAATCTAGCTAGGCTTCCGTATATAAAACAATAAATCAACGACCTCTTTTTAATCTAGGATGAATTCATTAATTCGAAATATATGAAATATATACAAAGTACTAATCACCTCTAGAAATGAACAAAAATTTAATGAATGATGTTTGCTTGGAAATGATTTTATGACTCAATTATGAGTAATTAGTATCCAACGAAGGGTTGCACTGTAGCAGTCACATCACCATATTGAGAAGAAGGAGAAATGAAAAAAAATTTAGTTAGTCAATAAAACAGAGAGTGGAGATTTAATACAAAAAATGAATGGCTTAGATAATTTTATGACTCAATTATGAGTGATTTAAGTTTGTTTGGAATAATATTTTAGATTTCTAATTAGTCAAGTCTAGGCCATAATAATTAAGTGCTCAAATGAAGATAAATTTCCAACATAAAATCTTGTTGTTGATAATACATCATACATTATTGTTATACTTATTCATACAACCTTCTTATTATTTATATATTGAATTACATGCGTAGCAATGTACTTTGGAGCAAGGAAGACAACGCGACACTTAAGCTTTAATGAAACTTAAAATGTGGAAGAAATCAGGCCTTCTTGGAACTAGACCTAACCACAACATGCGGTCGTCATCTGTGCCATCAGTAGCATCGATAGCGCCGCATACGATATCTTTCTTAGCTGCAAACCCATCGATTGTACTACTAGACGGACAATATTCGAGTTGGTAACAGCCCGAAATAGCAATACTTTTCTCTATCTTGAACCAATTGGCTGCGGTCTGAGGGCTCGGGTTTCCAATACCACCTCCGGTAGACAAGTGGAGATTACCGGAGTTGGCATCGGGGGTTAGCTCCCATGCCCCTTGCGAGCAGACGCTAGATGAGGTGTTGAACATTATGTTGAGGTCTGAGGAAATGTGGATGTGTTTTTGTGATGGGTTTGATGGTAGGAATGTTATTGGGGTTTCGCCGTACCAGCCTGCGGCTAATTGAGCTACGTATTGAGGGCATTCAGGCTCGTCTGGTTTGGATGCCGCGACTAGGCCACCCCCAATTCCGACTTTTGACAGTTCAGTGCGGACGTAGTAGGATGAGCCTACTTCGAGTGGGTTCCCTTCAACGTCTAGGACAAGGTCGTTGGCGGCTGTCTTTGCAGCTCCGATGGAAAGAAAAGTGATGAGGAAGATTGTTGTTGAAAATTGGATGATAAGATTTGCCATTTGTACGTTTTTATTTCTGAAGTTTGAGAAAAGTTAGAGGGTAAGGATTGTAGAACAGAGGAATAAGAGTTGGAACTTATTTATAAAAAAAGAAGAGGCTAAAAGCCAGGGCATTATTTGTAAGTACCTCTTAGTTTTGTGCTCAACTTTTGACACACTCACACACTTAATATTCATCAACAAATTTAAACATAAATCCAAGTGACAGTTTTGGACAGGTGATCGAAAGGATATAAGGGTAAATTCCAATGTACAATACGAAGTATATATCTAAAAGGAATATGGTGTAATGAAGTTTATATGGTTTATGTTTCAAGCAAAATATCTAACTCATTGTTCTAACTTTGGCTCTATTTCAAGCATTAAGCTATTATTAGATGACCAAATTTCTAGTAGTTTAAAAATATGCAAACGAAAAATAAATGATTAATTGCACCATACATTTTCCTATTTGGGAAGTTAATTGCACCATACATTTTCCTTTTTGGGAAGTTAATTGCACCATTTCTGTATATGATATGTTTTTTTCACTGTTGTGTTTACACACAAAATTCACTACTGTTAGATTGTGACTCGAAATCTAGTAGGGCTGACTTTGAATGCAGATATCTCTCAAATTACAAGTGATTTTGAGGTAGTTCAAGTTGGAGGTGATAGCGTGTTTCAAGAGCTTTCCAACAGTGGGTCATATGCCCAATTTCGATAAGAAATGAGAAAGTTATGGCTGCTTTACGAGGACCTATCGAAGCTGAAAAGCTGCGACGACGAGGTTGTGAGCTATTGCTCTAGGCGAGTGAGCTATAGCTCGGTCCTATGAAGACTTGCGGCAGGCTTGAGCTAGCTGCCGAGCTATAGCTCGGTAGTTCGGTTCTTCTAGGATAACTTATGGAATATTTCCTAAAATTATATCTAAACTATGACTATTTGAGTATACTTGTGGAGCAATTTAGGGTTTCATTAGGGTTTCCTTGTGTTATAAAAGGACCCTTTAGTTGGTCAATTAGATCATACCTTTTAAGCCATTAGATTTAGGACTCCTTGTATTATTCTCTCGTTCTTTCTCCATTATAGTGAAGAAGCTCTCGAATCCCCCACCCGTGGACGTAGGTCTAATTTCACTACACGAAAACAGCTCAATTTCGACGGAAAAAATCCGTCGAAAACATATGAAAATTCATCGGAATTTTGTGCTCCGACGGAATTTCCGTCGTAAGCCTTCTTCGGAAAACCTTTTGTAGGAAAGTAGGCATATTCCGACGAAAATTCCGTCGGAACACATGATTCTGACGGAAATTCCGACTGATATTTTTATAATCGAATCAGGTTTGACCCAAACTGGAAATCCGTCGCAAATTTCCGACGGAATTAATTCCGTTGGAATTTTACCATATCGACGGATTTTATTCCGTCGGAAACAACCTTTTCCGAAGAACTATTCCGTCGCAAATGATATGCTTTCCGACACAATTTTTCGTCGGAAAATTGCGACAGATTAAATTTCCATCGGAAAAATGTAAAAATACGTAGTATTATTTCCAGATATATAATTTCAGATTTCTATTTTTGTTTATAAAATCATTTAAAACCTAAACACCTGCAGCTATTTTATGTTTAAAAGAAATTCATTATCGACCTAAGAATTTAAATTTTCGTACATATAATATATATTATGTAATAGTACATACGATAATCCAAACTAATTAAATGTCCATACTAAATAAAAGCTATGCTAGAGTGAAGCTATGCTAAGCAATCGCCAGGGTACCCTGGACTGCTCCGCCACTACTCGGGTCGTCCCTGGGGTCTCGATGATGAGGACAAATGGTGGAACATGTGTCTGTTGATGATTTAGAGTGTTAAATGGTGCGCGCCCGCGCCCGCGCAAGTTAGGCGCGGCCGCGATGAGAGCGCGCCTAAACCGCGCACCTCTCTGGAAATCAGCATGTTGAATGAAAGTGGGAGGCACGCCCGCGCTACCTGGTAGCGCACCCGCGCTGCAGGCCGCACTAAAACCACGCCCCTCATTAACTTCAAGTTCATTTTGCAGGCAATTTGGGAGGAGCGCCCGCGCCTATTTGAGTCGCGCCCGCGCTGCTTCCTTGTTCTGCGGTTATTTGCTGACGGTTATTTCTCTTATTAAAGGGAATTTCGTGAAGTTCTAAAAAGAGATAAAACATTTTTCACCTTTTCTCTCCAAGAAGAAATTCTTCACATTTTTCTCTCAATCTTCTTGCAAACTATTGTGAGAAATCTCTTGAAATTTAGCCAAATTTGTGAATTGCTCATTATTCTTTTATTCTAGTGCTAAGAACGAAGTTTGCTGTCAATTGTATCTCAAAGAGGATTTCCGGTTTAACCCAAGCACCGTGTGGGGGAATAAACCTCTTTAGGAAAATGTTTACACGCCTTTGATAGTGTATCAAGGTTTGAGACTCAAGTGGTCATAGTTTTCTCATGTTCATGTTCATCATCATCAAGGATTGCAGTTGAGGCAAGTCTAGAATCTGTTACATTAGTGTTTTCTTTTGTATTTTCTGAAATACATTATTTATTTGGTGTTTGGTTGTAATACTTTGATTAAGTATTTGGTTGTTGTATAATTTGATTATTATACACTATTTACAATCTTTAAGTAATTCTTTGTTTGAATTGCTGTAAAACCTAACAATCTAAAAAGGTTTATTCATCTTTAGAAAGCATGTTTAGTGTGGAAGAATTGACCACAAATTTTGTTAAACTGAAAAAGTTTGACGGTGTGGAGTTTCGGAGATGGAGAAAAAGATGTATTTTCTTCTTACACCTTTGAATGTTGTCTATGTCATAAATACTCCAAGGCTGGATGAACATGAGAATGAAACCTTGGATCCGTTCGGGAGAGATCGAAGTGGGACAACGACGATTTCATATGTCGTGGTCACATATTGAATGGGATAGAGGATGATCTTTTTGATATCTACCAAAATGTAGAATTGGCCAAGGAGCTTTGGGCGTCTTTGAAAAGCAGGTACATGGCGGAAGACGCTTCAAGTAAGAGATTTTTAGTTAGTAATTTCAATAACTTTAAATTTGTTGATGGTCGGTCCATAATGGACCAATTTCATGAATTGCAACGACCTCTAGTTGGAAAAATGTTAAGCATGAATATAAACATAAAAAGGAGGACATGACATTATCCGGTTTGGCCACCCATCTTCAAATTGAAGAAGGGATTCGTGCCATGGAAGGTGCTAAGGATGGAAATCCTAGCACATCTACCGTTCATATGGTAGATGAAGGAAGAGCTAGTGCATCTACTAGTAAAAAGAGAAAGAATAACTATTCTTTCAAGAATAAGTCCAAAAAGAATATGACAAGTAATAAGTTTACTTGTTGGGAATGCGGTAAAGTTGGTCACCGCAAGAAGGACTGTTTTTCTTTTAAGAGAAGTATGGAGAAAGCCAAGGAGGGTCGTGCTACTGAAAGCAATGACCCATCCATCAAAGGTAATCCATTTCATGAGGTTGAATTTAATTCCGATTTGGACTTAAATGCAACGGATCCTAACATTTTTATGGTGTAGGATGATGACTCATGGTGGATTGATTCGGGGGCTTCAAGGCATGTATGCAAGAGTAAACATTGGTTCAAAACCTTTCAAAAGGTTGTTGATGAAGAAGACCTCTACATGGGAAACAACTCTACCATCAAGGTTCTTGGAAGAGGACAAGTTGAACTTGTGTTTAGTTCGGGGACTGCAATTATTCTTAGGAATGTTTTGTATGCTCCTGAAATTAGTAGGAATCTTGTATTTGGGTCTACCCTGAATAGTCTTGGCTATAAACTTGTATTTGAAGCTAATAGATGCATTATTATTAGGGGTGTAACATTTGTAGGTCGTTGTTATTTGGATAATGGTTTGTTTAAACTCTTATTGAAATAGAGTGGTGTTTTGGATAATTTATGTTTGAATGTTGATGTCAATGATAATCATGTTGGTTTGAATTTGTTTGACTTATGGGATTCTAGGTTAGGACATGTGAATTATAATAAAATGCTTTTCATGTCAAAGCAAGAATTGATACCTTCTTGTGATAATTCTCCTAATAAATGTTCTACTTGCATTGCATGTTGAACAAGATCACTAGAACTCCTTTTAAGAGAGTTCAGAGAAGTTATAATATTTTGGAATTGATCCATAGTGACTTGTGTGATTTTCATAGTACTCCTTCTTTGGGGAATAAACGATACATGATTATGTTTATAGATGATTATTCTAGGTTTTGTTATGTGTATCTTTTACACTCCAAAGATGAAGCTTTAATAAAGTTTGATATTTATAAAAGGGAAGTAGAACTGCAAGTAGAATCATTAATTAAGAGAATAAGAACTGATAAGGGAGGGGAATATTATGATCCAGCTTATTTCCAATCTTTGGGTATAATTCATGAGACGACAGCGAGTTATGCACCACAATCAAATGGTGTAGCTAAAAGGAAAAACAGAACTCTTGAAGAAATGGTTAATTTCATGTTATATTACTCTGGTTTGAGTGAAGGGTTCTGGGGTGAAGCAATGTTGACAGCTTGTCACATTCTTAACCGGGTTCCCACTAAGGGAAAACAATATACTCCTAATAAACTATGGTACAAAAGAAAGCCAAACTTGAAGTATCTCAAGGTTTGGGGTTGTAGGGCAATCGTAAGAGTGCCTGACAACAAGAAAAGAAACCTCGATGAAAGGGGCTTGAATTGCATTTTTATAGGTTATGCTGAGCATAGCAAAACCTATAGGTTTTATGTAATAGAACAAAATGACTATATATCGATTCATTCGGTTATTGAGTCAAGAGATGCAATTTTTGATGAAAAACGGTTTTAATCAATGAGTAGACCAAAAGATCTACAAATCAGTGCCAATGATAGGGAGATAGTAGAGTTGAATGATCAACTTGAACCTCATGAAGATACATTCGATAATAAGAATATTGAAACTCCTCAAGTTAGGAGAAGTGCTAGGGAAAGAAAAACTAGGAACCCTCTTGATGACTTTATAATTTATTTAGTCGAGGGTTCTAGGGATGTCCTTAGTTCTACTATTCCATATTGTTTTAATGTGGATAGTGATCCAAAGAGTTATAGCGAGGCCATTTCCTCTCAAGATAGTGCCTTTTGGAAGGAAACTATAAA